TAGGTGTGTCAGAGACAGATTTGCACAGGGCAGCGCAGAGTTTAGGGCTATTTTACATAGGGTCACTATGAGTCACAGTCAACTCAATGCCACATAACAACAACAACTACGCTGGAAATAAAAAGGTTAGTAAAAATGAGGTTGCATTTGTACTTAAAAAGACCATTTCTAGATCCATCTTGAAATACAACATTGTGAGTGATAGGATAATATCCAAATGCATACAAAGACGACCTATTAATACCACTATCCTTCAAATATTTGCACCAACGTACAGGGTCAAAGAGGAGGAAATAGATGACTTCTACCAACTTTTGCTGTCAGAAATCGATTGGACATGCAGTCAAGATGTTTTCGTAATAGGTGACTGGAACACAAAATTTTGGAACAAGAAAGAGGGATCATTAGTAGGAAAGCATAGACTTGTTGACAGAAATGATGCTGAAGATGGAATGATAGAATTTTGTATAGTCAATCACCTACTCACTGCAAGTACCTTTTATAAGAAACTTAAATGGAAGCTATACCAGTGGACCTCAACTAATGATCTACACAGAAAACAGATTGACTATGTCTGCCAAAAAACTCGACAGTGAAGCTGATGCTCAGCTGTAAAAACTAGGACAGATGGCTATTATGGAACAGACCATCAATTATTCGTATACAAGTTCAAACTGGAGCTAAAGTAAATCACACCAAATCCAGAAGAAACAAAGTTTGACCTAAGTCTTTCCCACTAGACTTTAAAGACCATCTCAGGAACAGGTTTGAGGTCCTAAACATTAATGAGCAAAGACCAGATGAAATGTGAGAGGATATCAGAAATATCATTCATAAGAATGCAAAAAGTCATTACAAAGACAGAGAAGGAATTAAAAACCAAGATGGATGTCAGAAGAGATTGAATATAAAAAAAACAATAGCAACAGCAATTTCCTTAATAAATGAGAATGGTTGTGTTTAAAACTAAAAAAAAAAAAAAAAAGAAGAGATTGACTATTTCACTAGATTGCCAAGAAGCCAAAGTAGAGGGAAGAAATCAAGATGTGAAGGAGCTGAGCAGAAGAACAAAGAGCAGCTCTGGAAGACAAAGCAAAGTATTATAATGAAATTTACAAGAAGCTGGAGTTGGAAAATCAAAAGGGATTAATTCGCTCAGCATTTCTTAAGCTGAAGGAACTGAAGAACAAACCTCGAATTGCAGTATTTAAGGATGCTATCCCAAAGAAAGGTGACCCAACAGAATGTGGAAACTACAGAACAATCTCACTGATTTCACATGCAAGCAAGATTTTACTGAAAATTATCCAAA